TCCTTTGCAGTATCTGGGTTAGGGAAGACCTCGGTTTTGTCGCATTCGATTGATGTAGGAGATGCTAAGGCTGTTAAGCAACGGCATTTTCCCGTGTCGCCGGCAGTAGAAAAATTACTATATGCAGAGGTGGACAGGATGCTCCAACTAGGAGTCATTGAGGAATCCGACAGCGCCTGGTTCTCTCCAGTTGTGCTAGTCCAGAAACCGGGAAAGGTTAGACTTTGCTTAGACAGCCGCAAAGTTAACGCTGTCACGCGAAAAGATGCGTATCCATTGCCGCAAATAGATGGGATATTAAGTCGTCTGCCCAGAGAAATGTTTATTTCGAGCCTGGATCTCAAGGATGCCTACTGGCAGATACCTTTGGTCCCAGAGTCTCGAGACAAAACAGCTTTTACCATCCCGGGAAAACCAGTGTATCAGTTCAAGGTCATGCCGTTCGGGCTCACCAACGCCTCGCAAACTATGACCAGGTTGATGGACAAAGTGATCCCAGCCAATCTCCGTAACGAAGTTTTTGTTTATCTTGACGATTTGTTGATTGTATCTGATAGTTTCGAGTCACATTTAAAGGTTTTAAAGACCGTGTCGCAGCATGTTCGATTGGCCGGTTTAACGCTTAACGTAGAAAAGAGCCAATTCTGTATGCGTTCGGTGAAATATCTTGGCCATATTGTTGGAGAAGGTGTCATTCGGACGGATCCAGGGAAAATTTCAGCTATGGAAGAATTTACAGAGCCAAACTCTTTGAAATCTTTACGCAGATTCCTGGGTATGGTCGGATGGTATCGTAAATTCATCGCTAATTTTGCGTCGATAGCCTCTCCTCTCACGGACTTGCTGAAGCCCAGATGTAAGTTCGTCATGGCTCCAGAAGGACGTTTAGCTTTCAAAGAACTTAAGACCAGGTTGTGTTCGGCACCAGTTCTCCGGATTTCAACGAACCCTTTTTTGTGCAGTGCGATGCCAGCAAGTCAGGAGTTGGGGGTGTCTTGGTTCAGAAAACTCCAGAGGGCGACGAGTATCCGATAGCTTTTGTATCAAAGAAACTTAATAAGGCGCAAAGGAACTATTCGGTAACCGAACAAGAGTGCCTGGCGGCGATTGTCTGTATCAATCGATTTAGAGCTTATATCGAAGGGCATGAATTTACGGTTATTACTGACCATGCATCGTTAAAGTGGCTCATGACGCAGACCGATCTACATTCGCGTTTAGACGGTGGGCCTTAAAATTACAAGGTTTCAAGTTTACAATTGAGCACCGTAGTGGTCGCCTGAATGTTGTTCCCGATGCGTTGTCAAGTGTGAACGAAGAGGAAGTGGCTGCCGTGGATTCTTCCTATGGCCAGCTAGTTGATCTCGATTCACCAGCTTTTAAGGCAACCGAGTATACGGAACTCATAAGCCGAATAGAAGCCAATAAGGAAAAATTGCCTGATCTGAAGGTTATTGACGGGTTGGTTTACAGGAAGTGCGGTTACGTCACGGGGGATATTCTCCACGATAATTTTATCTGGAAGTTATGGATCCCTCAGGAGTTGATTCGAGAAGTACTAGCCAATGTCCATGACCATCCGTTAGCCTCACATGGTGGAGTTCACAATACTCTCGAGCGAGTGCGGCAATTTGTATATTGGCCAGGTTTGGTCAAGGATGTGAAAGCCTATGTGCTCGCCTGCGATATTTGCAATACTACAAAAGCACCGAATGCGGTCCAGCGTCCTCCAATGGGAGTGGCACCAGAGTCGCAAAGATTCTTTCAAAGGCTTTACGTAGACTTTCTGGGCCCGTATCCGCGTTCCAAAAGTGGTCATATTGGTATATTTATAGTGCTGGACCACTACTCAAAGTTCGTTTTTCTAAAAGCTGTAAAAAAATTGACGGCTGACATCGTGACTAAGTATCTGCAGCAAGATCTGTTTCACACCTTTGGTGTGTTGTGTCGGATAATGGCTCCCAATTCAAATCGGAAGTCTTTCAGAAGTTTCTGAAGAAGCACAAGATATGTCACACGACTACCGCCGTTTACTCTCCGCAGGCGAATGCATCGGAGTGAGTAAACCGTTCGGTAATCGCAGCTATTCGCTCCTACGTCAGGCCGGATCAAAAAAATTGGGACGAGGAGCTGAGCAGTATTTGCTGCGCCTTGAGAACGGCAGTCCATTCTAGTCTTGGCACGTCGCCCTATTATATGGTGTTTGGGCAGCAGTTCATCAGCTCGGGTGGAACATATAAGGTTCTAAGGGCACTTCAGTTGCTGGAAGATAAATCCCTGGCATTCTCAAAGGAGGATTCCTTAGAGTTGGTGTGTAAGAAGGCTCTAGCAGTAATGGAGAAGCAAAGGGAGAAAAATGAGAGGACGTACAACTTGAGATCGGGGGAGGTTTCTTACCAAGACGGCCAAGAAGTGTTCAGGAAGAACTTTAAGCAGAGCAACTTCCAGAGTGGCTATAGCGCTAAGCTTGGTACAGCCTATGTGAAGGCTCGAATATGCAAGAAAATAGGAAATGCGTATTATGAGTTGGAAGACTTACAAGGACGATCTATTGGCCGATACCATGCTAAAGATCTAAAGCAGTAGGTGATCCGCGTAGTTCGGATCAGGCTTGCGAGTTACCCCCAAGTCTGATCTTGGGCGGGGGGTATTTGTAGCGCTTAGATCAGGTGGATCATTTTTGTTTGTGGCGCCCTCTATGGGGCATTATGGTAGAGCTCCGGCAGATGAACACGCCATCTGGGCCTCAGGTTTGGGGGTCAAAGAAAAGGGCATAGAAAGGAAGGATAGGTTAACAGATGGAAACGTCAAGGCGAATTTCACCTTTTTAGAAGGCTTGAGGGTTCCCGCGGATTTCGCAGCGTGGCTTCGGTCATCCCTTTCGGTCATCGTTCGACCTGGATAGGTGATTGCCGCAGTTCACATTTTTTTGCAAGTGTTTTGTCAGTGAAAAAAATCAAGAGTGCTAAAAGTGAGCAAACCGGAGAAACCACTAGCAGCGAGAGGAAAGAAAAATTGGAAGTGTAAAGTGCCCATTCCCAGCAGAGGTAAGCTCGGGGAGACAAGATTGTGATGCAGCCCGTTAAATGCCACTTTTCGTCCCGCAGAGGGTGCGGCTTTGGAGCAGCTCGAGCTGCGGAAGGAGGAGCGGAAAAAAAACGAGAAGGAACGTGTGAGTCGCAGCTAAAGACGCGACTCTACTTATACCCGTACTCAGTCAGTAGAATTTTTAAGAATTTTAGAATTAAAAAAAAAATTTTACATTTTTTTGCTACATCTGATATCTACATCTACATATACAATGTATATTCTACATCTAACATGTAGATTGTACATGTTCCATTTGGATTCTACATCTCCTCCGCTAGGGGTTGCTCGCGCACTGAACGCGGCAGAGTGTGCGAGCGAGAAGGAAAATGAGTTGCTTTGTCGTTGTCAGGAGGGGGCAGAGGAAGCCACTGAAAATTAATTTGTTCATTCTGGCTATAATTATGATCCGATCTGATTCAAATTTGGCAGTCTGGTAGATATGGACATTCTCTACGATAATGCGTTTTTAGTTTTATAGTATCTTTAAAAATGTGCCTGCCACAGATTTTCGTCCTTTGTGTGGGCGGAAGGAGGCGGGGCGAAATTTTGAAATACACTTGTAGCAGTGGGATATCACATGAGTCTGGAAACCAAATTTGGTTGCCCTAGCTCTTATAGTCTCTGAGATCTAGGCGCTCATCGAGACAGACAGACAGACAGACAGACAGACGGACAGACAGACATAGCTATATCGACTCGGCTATTGATGCTGATCAAGAATATATATACTTTATGGGGTCGGAAACATTTCCTTCTCTGCGTTACACACATCCACTTTTACCACAAATCTAATATACCCCTTAACTCTTTTTTGAGCACGGGTATAAAAAACGGAGATCGGCCATCCGAGTGCATTCAAAGCCCGGCTGGGGGCAACGAGGCCCAAAGGGAGTATCTGGAGGGAAAACATCCTCAACGTAGAGACCCAAAAAGGGGTCAGGGAAGATTGGGAAAAAATGACAGCAAAAATATATAATTATTGGATTGATGCCTTAGCGGGGAAAAAACAGGCGAAGAGTGCGACGATCGCAGCGTCATTTTGGTGCTTTCCTACGTTTTCGTTTTAGTTAAAGTAGTAGAAAATGCAGCAGAAAAGGTAGCAGCAGGGGCCGTAACGAAAGCAGCCAAAGGAGACTCACTCGTAATCGTCGATTTGTGGGATGGAGAAATTCTTGGTTATTGGGGGTGAAAAAATATGAATTAAGGGAGGAAGAAATTTAGGTTTAAAGAAAAATATATTTTAAAGTAGTCTAAGATACGTGAATAAGTGCCGTCTAACCGTTTTGTGTAGAGCGTGAGTGTCGGTGGGCAGGGAAGAAGGAGAGAGAGGAAAAAGTTGACATTTTTTTCTATGGAGATCTTTTGGGTATTTGCGATCATATATGTAAAGTGGTAGTATTGGCGTGAGTCGATAGTCCTCACTCTGATCGCCCACCACCAAGGATTGGTCCATCTCAAAGTCGTCGTCGTTGGTATGTCAGTAGTTGAGTTGGTCGGCAGATGTCAGAAAGTAAAGTTGAATAAGTTGTTTCTAAAGTCGTCAAAATCAGCAGTTCTGTTAATTACATATAACCAAAACCTTTAAACATTATACATTCATATATCCTACTTGTGTACAATACTCAATAAAACACTGATAATATAAAATTATCTTACATGGGGGCTCAACCTACGAAAGTATATCATGTGATTACGCACACAACGATAATGATGATGCGTTCAGCTAAAAAGAACAAAAAGCAAAGCGGACAAAATGAGAAGCAACAAAGAGGACAGCAGAATAAAGAAAGAATAAAGGCTGATGAAGGAAGGGTAAAAACGGACGAAGAGAAGACACCAGAGGCGAAAACAGGAGAAGCTGTCAAAATGGACATAAACAAAACTTTTTTTGTCCCATTTGACGAAAATAGAAGAACCAGAAGAAAAAACAGAGAGCGAACAACATGTTGGGCTTCGTGGCGCACCAACAGAAGTCACGATCCACCACGACGCAAAATACTCAAATATCAGCGCGGAGATGAGCAACAACAACGAATTGAGTGAGGTGCTCAAACTGCTGGCAACAAAAATTACACAAAACGATTCCAGTAAAAATAATATCCCAATCGAGAGCTTTTCTAAGGTTGTTCCTGAGTTTGATGGAGTGTCAATTCCAATTAAGCAGTGGATAAAATGTTTCGATGAAAATGCCGATGCCTACGAATTGACTGACAAGCAGAAATATGTGAACGCTCGTATAAAAATTAAGGGAACAGCAAAGTTATTCCTGGAGACCACCACTGTGTCGGATTATCATACGTTGATTGGATTGCTGTTGGATGAATTTGACAAGACCCTGACCAGCGCTGAGGTACATAAGCAGCTAAGCGAACGAAAGAAACACGAAAACGAGAATTTTCACGAATACGTCTTAAATATGCGAAAGATAGCTGCTCTTGGATGTGTAGATGATGAGTCGGTGATCCGTTATATAGCCGAGGGAGTAAAGCTGCGTGACGATCTAAAATATCCCTTATACAGTGCTTCAACATTCAAGGAACTACGAAGCCGATTCGAAACAATCGAAATTATGACAAAATCAGCAGTGGACCGCAAACAAGCAGCGAAAAAGTATGACGTCGGTAAAGCAGGAACTCTGGGAAAACGATTTGACCAGAATCAAAGGCATTGTTTCAACTGTGGATCAACGCAACATATGAGAGCCGAATGCAAGGAAGATACTAAGTGCTTTAAATGCAACGGCAGTGGACATACATCCCGTGATTGTCTGGGCTTAAAACCAAGCGTCAATATAATCAGCGAGACAAGGGAAAAGGTGCTGTTCATCAATAATAAAACTGTGTCATGTCTAGCCGATACAGGAGCTGACGTGTCTCTTATGCGAATGAAAATATACAAGGAGAAATTTGCTGAATATCCACTGCAGAAAAGTTTTGCTAAATTGTACGGCCTAGGAAACATTGTCACATCTGTGCTGGGTGCGTTAGATGTGCAAGTGCTGGTTGATGGAATTCGTACGGAACATAAATTTCTCATCGTTCCCGATACAAAACTCAATGTCAACATAATTATTGGCTACGACTTTCTCAAAAAATTTATTGTTGTTTTGGAAAATGGAAAGTATGCTTTTACAGAAGGAGATAGCATAGTTGAGGCAGAGGCTGATCATAATGTTTTCAATGTGGTAAGTCAGGACATGGAATTAGACGTTCCTCAAAAATACCAAGCAGCAGTCAAGCAGTTAATTGATAATTACAAGCCGTCTAAAGTTGAGCTAACCTGTCCTATAAAGATGACAATTATCCCTAATTGTAAGAATATGGCATTCAGAGAGCAACCAAGTCGATATGCAGCAGCAGAGAGAGAGATAATTCGCAACCAAGTAGAGGAATGGTTGGAACAGGGCAATATACGAGAATCCTACTCTGACGTGGCGAGTAAAGTTGTTTTAACCAAAAAGAAAGATAAAACGTTGAGGCTATGCATAGACTACCGTGTCTTAAATACGATGGTACTGAAAGATCGATTTCCGGTCCCGCTTATAGACGAAGTTCTCGATAAGATGCAAAGCGCGAAATATTTTTCTGTCTTCGACTTGAGGAATGGATTTTTTCATGTCGAAATCGATGAGCCCAGCCGCAAATATACAGCTTTCGTGACAAAAGAGGGACTGTTCGAATTTAATAGAGCTCCATTTGGCTATTGTAATTCGCCTGCAGTATTCGTAAGGTTTGTCACATATATTTTCCAACAGCTGATAAATGAAGGTATTATGGAAATGTATATCGACGACATAGTTGTTTTTGGGCGAACAGCCGAAGAGTGTCTAAGCAACATCCAGCGCGTATTGAAACAGGCGCAGCAGTATGGACTCGACATAAAATGGTCAAAATGTCACTTTTTGAAGGAGCGTATCACTTTCCTTGGTTACGAGATAGAAAATGGGAAGATATGGCCTGGGAAAGAAAAGGTAAAAGCTGTAAAAAAATTTCCGATGCCAATTAATATCAGAGGTATTCAGGCGTTTCTTGGACTTACTGGCTATTTTCGCAAATTCGTAAAAGACTACGCTTTTATTGCCAAGCCATTAACGGAACTGCTGAAGAAAGATGCCGTTTTTAAGATAGAAGGAGCACAAAAACAAGCAGTAGAACAACTAAAAGCAGCACTAATAGAAGAGCCAGTGTTGAAGATTTGGAGTCAAAGCGCCAAAACACAGTTGCATGTGGATGCATCAAAACATGGCTTTGGTGGAACATTGCTGCAGCAGCACGATGGTAAATGGCACCCCGTTTTCTACTGGAGTAAGAAAACAACACCACAAGAGGAAAAACTTACCAGCTATGTACTTGAGGTAAAGGCAGCATACCTAGCAACAAAGAGACTCCGCCATTACCTGTTAGGAATAGAGTTCGACTTGGTAACAGATTGTGCGGCTTTTAAACAAACGATCTCCAAAAGAGATATTCCCCGAGAAGTAACGCCGTGGCTGATGTACTTGCAAGATTTCACCTTTAAAGCAGAGCATCGTGCTGGAAGCAGAATGCAGCATGTTGACAGCCTGAGTCGTTTTCCGGTGATGATCGTGACTTCCGAAGTTAATGCACGGATCAAAAGAGCACAACAGAGTGATGAACACTTAATGGCAGTTAGCGAAATTCTAAAGCAGAGACCCTATGCAGATTATGTTCTCAGAAATAACCTTATCTTTAAGCAGGTAAAGGGCCAAGATCTGTTGGCAGTACCAAAATGTATGGAAAAGGAGATAATAACAAACTCACACAATTTTGGCCACATGGGAGCGCAGAAAACAATTCACGCAATTCAGCAGGACTTTCATATACCACACTTGGAGAAGAAAACTAAGCAGGTAATTTCCAATTGTATCGAGTGTATCACCCATAATCAGAAATTGGGGAAACAAGAGGATTATTTGCACGCTATCGACAAAGGCGACACACCCCTCTCAACGTTGCATGTGGATCATTTGGGTTCATTGGACAATACATCGAAGAACTACAAGTATATATTTGCTGTCGTAGATGGTTTTTCAAAATATACTTGGCTATTTCCTACAAAGTCGACAAATGCGGAAGAAGCTATCAAACACCTGGAATCATGGGTTTCAATATTTGGCAGCCCGCAGAGAATTATCAGCGATAAGGGAGCGGCGTTCACATCCCATTCATTCAAGGAATTTTGCGCAACGAACAATATTGATCACGTCGAAACAACAGCTGGCGTACCAAGGGGTAACGGACAGATTGAACGGGTTAACAAGGTTATCATTTCAGTACTCTCAAAAATGTCAGCAGCGGAACCAGCAAAATGGTATAAATACACATCGCAGGTGCAACAGGCCATAAACTCTCACATACATGCATCAACTAGATACACGCCGTTCGAAGTCATGTTTGGTGTACGTATGAGAAACAACTCCAGTGCTGAGCTTCTGAGGATCCTTCAAGAGGAGATGCTGTCGAACCTGCAAGAAGAACGTAAGGAAATTTGGCAAGAAACCAGGCGCCAAATCGAAAAAGCCCAAGCTGCTTACAAGGAGAGTCACGACAAGAAGAGAAAGGGGCATCATGGTTATCAGCTAGGCGACCTAGTAGCCATTAAGGTGACGCAGTTTATAACTGGAAGGAAGTTATCCAACAAATATATCGGCCCGTATGAAGTCATTCGAGTGAAACGGAACGGCAGATATGATGTTAAGAAGGCAGCTGAATTTGAGGGTGTACTACAGACCTCTACAAGCGCTGACTTTATGAAGCTGTGGCGCTATGCTTACTGCGAGGAAGAAAATGAAGAGCAGAGTGAAGAGGAGGAGACATCTGGGACAGATGTTTTGCAGGATGGCCGAATGTAAAGTGGTAGTATTGGCGTGAGTCGATAGTCCTCACTCTGATCGCCCACCACCAAGGATTGGTCCATCTCAAAGTCGTCGTCGTTGGTATGTCAGTAGTTGAGTTGGTCGGCAGATGTCAGAAAGTAAAGTTGAATAAGTTGTTTCTAAAGTCGTCAAAATCAGCAGTTCTGTTAATTACATATAATCAAAACCTTTAAACATTATACATTCATATATCCTACTTGTGTACAATACTCAATAAAACACTGATAATATAAAATTATCTTACATATATTTTATCTAAAAAACCCCCTACAGCTCTGGATTTCCGCGAGGAAGCGCTTCATCGTCGAACACGGAAAATAAGGGTGAGTGAAATCGGCAGAATATGCAAATTTAAATTGTGAAAAAGAAAAGCTCAGAGCAGCACCCCAGCACTCTCCGTCGAACTTTTCGGCTCTCTCACATTCTGCCTTGTCCGATGATTCGCAGTGCACGCAAAGAAGATCCATCTCAGTTCATTTTATTAGCCATTTTTTTTAGACATTTAAAATTATTTATTTCTTTTACATAGCTTACGTTAATTTATTTATTATTCTTCTCAATGTTCATTTTCGGAATTAGTTTGTTGGTCGGAATTTTATGTTCAGGTTAATAAATTTTATAATGTTTTAATTTCCCTATTTGTTTTGCCTTCGGCTAGCTGATGTCCCCATAGGAGCTCTCGGAAAGCCATAAATAGAAATTAAAAGCGCAATGCGATGGATATTACACCATTAAATGCGCCATTTAAGTGCAAGACGACGACGAACCACAAACGAACACGAAGCGATTTAATTACAGCAAATTGCAGAGATGTTTTTTTTTTTCTCCTTTGCGTTGTGGCAGGGAGCTGGTAGCTGGGAGCCAGCTATGTGTTAATCCAATTTGTGTGCCATTAGATGGCCCGTTGACCCACATAGCAGGCGGAGCAGGAGGAGAGTTGCAATGCAATGCACACAGATAGCTGGCTGGTTGAATGGATGGATGGCCAAGGTAATTGCCGGTGGACGCACACCGCATTGGCAATGTCAAGGTAACCAGTTTTGATTACAGCTCCCAGTACCCGCACCCCATCTTCAGATATATCTCTGTGCAATGTTCCATCACCATTTGCGTCATGACATAATTGGCAATGACTTCGTGACTGATTTGTTGAGAGGTGGGGTAAGAGGTAAGAGGTAAGGTAGCAGTTTTCACTGCAGGATATCCGTCTCACAGAATTTCATAATTTTTCGAAAACCTACACTCCTGCAGCGTGGCACTTGACTTGATTGATTGCCAACTCAGTGACTGCCATATGAAGCAATTTCCACTCGAGGAGCTGGCTTCACAGGAGAGATGTGCGCACAGCCAACGCTGTTCCCATGACGAGTATGTGGGTCGCTTGTCGATTCGCATTCGCCTGTTCAAATTTACAGAGAGGCAGAGACAGAGAGCTAAAGGCAGAGCTGGAGACACAGGCAGGAACAGCGGCAAGGACAGAGGCTGGAGCTGGAGCTGGAGACAGAGGCAGAGTAAGAGCCAGAGCTATAGGCAGAGTCAGAGTAAGAGCCAGAGACAGAGTAAGAGCCAGAGACAGAGGTGAAGCCTCAGCCTCAACCAGAGTCAGTGCCTCTGGAACATAGATATTTGCATGTGTGTCTGCTGGCAGATTACACTCTTCGAGTGCTGCTACGCTGGCATGACAACATTGGCATGGGGTTTGTCAGACACGGCCCGGCCCGGCCCCAATGATCGATTGGTTTACGTGGTGCGGATTACGTATCGTCTAGGGTGTAACGATTACTGGCAGCCGGGGGGGAAGGAGTTGTTAAGTGATATGACTACACCTTAGACCCCCTGTAGCAGGCAGCAGCAGCAACAGGGGAAAGTCATTATATTATGCAAATATTTGAAATAAAATAAAAATTTTAAATTAAAAGGTGCACCTCAGGAGGTCTGCCATA